GCCCCTCCTCCCTCAGACCCTCCTCCCTCGGACCCAGGAGTCCAGGCCCCAGCCCCTCCTCCCTCAGACCCTCCTCCCTCGGACCCAGGGGTCCAGGCCGCGGCCCCTCCTCCCTCAGACCCTCCTCCCTCGGACCCAGGGGTCCAGGCCCCGGCCCCTCCTCCCTCAGACCCTCCTCCCTCGGACCCAGGGGTCCAGGCCCGTAGCCCACTCACCAGCGGTCTTGGCAGAGGAACCCACGGAGAAAGATCTGGTGGTGGAGACGGATTAAGCCCCACACACTTCGAACAGGAGCACCTGAGGAGGAGGGAGGCCGCTGGCGTCCGTTTGCGTTGCTCCGCCCTCCGTCCCGGGAGCCGCGCCCCGCGAGGACAGGAAGGTGGCGCGCAGCCCCGCGGGGCCCGGCCGTGACCCCGGGGAAGCCCCGCCCCCTCCTTCCTCCGGCTCCGTAAACTGTGTGGGCTGCGGCGGGCGGAGCCCAGCCAGAGTGCACGCCCCGCGGGCCGGCGTGGGCGCGAGTGTGAGCGTCACCCTGCGAGCACCGGGGTGCGGAGCGGGCGGCAGAGGGGTGGGCCCTGGGCGGCGGCTGCGGGGCGGGCGGCCCGGCCAGACCCGGCGTCTCCGCGCCTTATAAGGGCCTGGAGTCGGCTCAGGCATCTGGAACGCGTCGGGGACCTGGAGGCGGCGCCCGGACCCCCGCCCGCCTGCGGGGCTGCCCGCCCTCTCCCGATTTCCGGCGGTGGGGGTCCCCGACTCCCAGGTCCCAGGAGGGGAGTGTTGGAGGCCCCCATTTCTGGATCCCTATAAAGAAGGCTGAGAGCCCCCCCCAGAGCATCTCTAAGACCGGAGCGGGCGGAGACCCGGGCCTCTGAGGGGCTAGGGCTCCAGGCCAGAAACTGCACGCGGTGCTGGAGTCAGGCCCGAGGCCCAGCCACGCCTCCCACGGGCTCCCTGAACCCCAGTCGGGGCCTGCGGGAGCCCCGGAGAGGCGCCACCCGGAGCCAGACGCTGCCCGCCCCCACGCCCCTGCGGGACCCCCGAAGGAGAAGGAAGTAGGGACTGGCCCAGCGTCCCGCCCTCTGGGAAGCGGGCACTGCCCCGCCCCGAGCAGGAGGAGAACGAGCGAGGGCGTCACTCATTCAGTCCCCCGTGCTGGGTGGGCGCGCCGGGGAGGGGGCGCCATGGGGACCGGGCCACCCCGCCCTTAGGGCTCCTGCAGTCGCCTGAGGTCAGAGCTCAGGAATGCGCCGCCGGAGCGTAGAGGGTGAGGAAACACCCCTCCAGGCCTCCTGGCAGAGCACCGGGCTCCCCGGGCCCTCACTGTCCTCCCTCCTCTGCTCCAGACGCCACACCCATCGCTCACGCCCAGAATCGGGCCCCGGAACCCCAGCCTCGATTCTCAGCGCCCAGAGATGCGGGACGCAGCCCTGTCATCTCCTCGTTTCTCAGCTCCATCTACGCTTTGGGAGCAAGGGGCTGGATTTTAACACCCCCTCCCTCGGGCCTTCAGGAGTCCAAAGTTCTCATTCTGCCTGTCCCCTGGATGCGGAGGGGTCAGCAATTCTGAATTCTTTACATTCTCATTCCCAAACCCAGGACACCTAACCCCAAGCTCTTCCCCCCCTAAAGGATCTCCACGTACCAGATTCCAGCCTCCAACTGGGGTACCTACGAGTCCCCATCTCTCTACTCCCGCAGACCCAGGAATCCAGACCCGCAGCCCTTCCTCCCTCAGACTCAGGAGTCCAGCCAGACCCCAGCTCTCTCCTCCCTGGGACCCAGGAGTCCAGGACCCAGCCCCTCCTCCTTCAGACCCAGGAGTAAAAGCCCCCAGCCCCCCCTCCCTC